ATTTGCTTTGAAATTTATACACTTGTAAGTGGTAAATGACTTAAATCCAGTCAGCCTGATCCCAGAGCCCTGCTCTTAACCACTATACTACAGGGTAGCCATGAAGTCAGAAAACAAAGGTAAAATTATTTCTTTATCACATATTGCATTATGTGCAATGTATATGTCAATAAATGATTTATTACATATTTACCTATGTTTCCTGACTTCTTGATCACCCTGTAGGTTAAGCACAACATTTAAGATTACATTAGGTTAAATCTAATGATCTCTCTTCTTGCCAGTTAGTAGCTCAGTGAAGACACAAGCATAGCTGTATTTATATGAGTCATTTGTGGTTTGGAACATTACAGGTTTGTGTGTTCTACCTTTCTATAGCCAGCAGCTGGATGACAGCAGTTCCATCTGGAGCGAGTAGCCTCTTGTTTAGTTCTCGTTTAGTTTGAGGTTGTAGAAACTTCATTCAGGTCTCTGTTTCCTCCCTTCCTGAAGAGATCTCTGATTTTCTTATCGTGAGCGGTGATTAAGCAGGATAAATTCTGGATTAATCCATGATATTGTCAAGTAGCTAAGCAGAGAGACTCTGGTTCTGCAAAAATTACTTTCAAGGTTTAGCTCCCAGTGAGGGTGAATGATTGTGAGGAACTGAGTATTTGGAAAAACTTACAGAGTTACTCTTGATAATGGAGCCAGCCCATTGGTCTTTCTTGTATTAAATATTTTTATTCCTAAAAAGGTTACAGATACAAGAAACATACAACTTTTTACTGACTTATTAAACAAATTAATTAGGCACTGTTTTTTTTAAGCTTAGTTACCATATAAAGGCAACTAAGTTTTCAGATTAAAAAATCATCTTTTAGCATCTTCAGTTAACATAAAGAATGATGGACAAAATATTAAAATACTAACCTTAAAAAACCTACAAAGGACTAATTGGGTATTATTTATGATAAACTATTGTGCTGTTTGACTAAAAAGAAACTAATTGTTTATCCCAAGTCTGCTTTTTCTCCCTAGACTGTGAAAGCACTAAACCACTTAAAAGAAAACTTGAAAATCATTCACAGAGGTAGGTACGGATTGTTTTTTGTAGAACAGAAATTAGACAAAAATTATTGAAAATTG